AGTCCAAATTCAATGATGTGGAAGTCCAAGTCAAGTCCAAGTCCTTAACTATGAATTTTCAAGTCATAATCAAGTCATCTGTACAACTTCAATTTAATGACAATGATAATAAATAAATTTCAGAAATAAAGCTTCTTAAAGCTTTGTTTATTAGCACAAACAAGCAGAAAGTGCAACTGAAAGTGATTATAAACTAAGTGCTGCTGCATTTAGCAGTAAATCAAACCCAGAACCAAGAATGGTTTATAATTTTTGTCCATGTCGAGCCACTTTTGTGCTAAAATATGAAATATGCTGAAGTCATCATCAAGTCAATAAATGCAAGTCAATTCAAGTCGCAAGTCATCAGCGTTCAAGTCCGAGTCAAGTCGTAAGTCTTTCTAGATTTTATCAAGTCAAGTCAGAAGTCATTAAAATAATGACTCGAGTCCAAGAAGAAGAAGAAGAAAATATAATTTCTATAGCGCCTCTCAAGATAAAAATCACGAGGCGCTTCACAAAAACAAAAATTGTAAAAATATAAAAAAGAATTTAGAAAATGGTTAAAAATATATTTAAAATGAGCAAAAAATAGACAATTGTGATAAAAAATGTAAAGAAAGAGAGAGAGTGGATAGGAAAGAGGGAAATCAGTGGATCCTGAGGAAGGTGGAATAGGTGGGGAGAGCAGAATAAAGAGAGAGTGGTGAAGAAGGTCATACAAAAGCCAGCTTGAACAAGTTAGTCTTCAGCTGCTTTTTAAAGGAGACCACTGAGTCCACTGATCTCAGGCTCAGGGGGAGAGAGTTCCAGAGTCTGGGGGCCACAGCAGCAGATGATCTGTCACCTTTGGTCTTTAGCCTGGTGCGCTGCACAACCAGTAGGCTTTGATCACTGGACCTCAGGGACCTGCTGGGGGTGTAGGGACTAAGAAGATCACCAATGTAAAGCCTGATTCATGCTTCTCCGTCTGCGTCAGTGCGGAGACACGCAACGCCATTATCCGTCCTTGCGTAGGGCTCCGGCAGGCACGCAAGTACGTACGGAGTCGAGCCCACTTTTTTAAACATCCGTCGAACGAGACGGATTACGCAAGCTTGTGATTGGTCAGGACGCCGCTGTTGTTTACAGCGCCGCCATTGCAAAGAGAGCCGAGGATAACTAGCGGCAGACACGGAGAAGCTTGAAGAATACCTCGCGAAAAAACTCTAAAAATATGAACGTTTAATTCTCCCGTGACTGGAGGAGTGAAAAGATGTGCAGCAAGCGTTTTATTTGTGGATGGAAATGACAGGAAACGTGGGTTTAGAGGTGGGGAGCGCATGAAGCGGTGGGAGAATGAGAGACAAATATGTCCGTGTTAAAAGTCTCTTATATACACAAAAAACACAATATAAACACACGATCTTGGACAGATACATGACAGGATACCACAGAACAGCGCTACGCCCTCTGTGGTCCTGCCGGGGAATTGCTTTGCAACACTCTCCAGGAGACGGAGAAGTAAAAGAGCAAAACGCTTCCGTCAATCCGTGCGTGTCTGTCCCTTGCGGAGCTGACGGAGAAGCATAAACCAGGCTTAAGATGGTGCTTGTCCATGTAAGGCCCTGTTACAAACCCTAGGTGTTTTGCGTTGTGGCAAGGGGTAACATTAAAACTGATGCGGAAAAGGAGGGGTGAGAGTAACTAAAAGGGGTTTATTTTACAGATTTTAACCAAAAATCACAGTCCTCGACTGGAAAAATCCACATTCAGTCTAAACAAAACACACAACGGAGGTAACCCAAAACATCTGGGACAAACGGTCCCAGGGACGAAAACACGGATATAACTATTGATACAAAAACGGAAAATAACGAGCCGGAACTAACTATAAACCAAAACTCAACGGCTATCAATATTCAAAAGGGGTATTAACGAAAAGTGAGCTATAAAGCTGAAAACGACAACGAAAAAGGCCTCACTGGGGCAGAATCAAAACGGGATCTTGACACGAACAAACGGTTACTAAATACAAATATCCACACTCTCGTCAAAGCTACTCAATACCACAAATGTTACACGAATCTAGCCGAGGAGAGAAAGACAGAGGTTTTACGTCTGTGTGTCTCTCCCTGAGAAACGGAATCGGGAGTCTTTTTAAAAGCGTCTCATCAGCGGTGGATTGTCCACAGCTGGGGCAGAGTGGGCGGGCCGAGGTGGAGGCCAGCCTGACGGAGGACCTGTCCAAGGTCCTGAACAGCATGGAGGGAGAAGAACAGGGCCATTCAAGGTGCGGGAGCCCAGGATCCATAACAGGCCCTATAGACCAGAACCAGGATCTTGAAATGAACCCTGAAGTTGACTGGCAGCCAGTGAAGCTGGAGGAGAAGCGGGGTGATGTGGGTGTGTTTGGAGGACTTGGTCAGAAGCCGAGCACAGGCATTCTGAACCACCTGTAGTCGGTTCAGGGAGGTTCTGCTCAGACACGTGAAAAGAGAGTTACAGTAGTCTAAGCGTGAGGAGATGAAGGTGTGGAGAACTGTCTCAAGTTCAGAGCGGGACAGAATGGGACTCAGCTTAGCAATGTTCCTGAGATGGAAGAAGGAAGAGCGAACAAGAGAACTGACATGAGAATCCAGGGTGAGAGCTGGGTCAAAGGTCACGCCAAGATTCCTGACAGAAGGTTTGGTGTGAGAAGCAAGCTGACCAAGAGAGTCTCTGACTTTGGGAACCAGCCAAGTCATGTGACTCGAGTCCACACCTCTGACAAATAGGCTGCAGTAACCAAATCTGACCACATGATGTCATTCTTATTACATTCTTACATAATGCTCCTTTAAGCTGAAGCTAAACATTTCTCGATACCTTTCTTCTATCTTCCCCCTTTAAACAGAATCCAAGCAAACCTTTTATGAGCAAATCTGAAAGAGGTGTTGCTCCTGATGTGGCGGTCCTGGTGGATGTACACCATCCTGTTCCATACTCTTGTCTTCTTCTTGTCTTCTCTGCTGATTCCTGCTCCACCCGGAGTCACAAACCCCTCTATAGGCCAACAGACATTTCTAAAAATCTAAATCTCGTCTTATGTCTCTATGAAGCTCTACATTTTCTTCCATGTTCACGCACTCCATAGAAGGATATGCAAATGGCTATGAGTCACATGCATTGCTGCCTTTGCAGTGCTGAGATTTAGCCTTTTCTGTGCCTGGCATGCATACGTGTGACACACTCGGTTATATAACGAGAGTGAGATGTGTCCGACACAAACCAAACACCTCAAGCTTTTGCGTGATTTCTTGCGCTGATCTGTTTCCGTATGTAACAGAGCTGAGAGAAGAAAGGGGAAGATAAACCTGTCACAAGGAACAAGATCAGCTTTTGAGAATTTGACTGCAGATAATACCACGTGGTGTTTTGTTCCTCCCAGATTGAACGCCAAGACTTTATTGTCTATATTTACCTTCTGTCAAAGGCTTTTGTAAGTCATAAACTTGAAGTAAATAAAGCCTAAACTTAAAGAACGGTCCACACCTTTCTTTCATGAAGAGTTGAATTTTCTCCAGATGCAAACAGGACGTAATAATATTGCACATGTATAATCTATTTGCTAATGATAACCAGCTCTTCGCTCCATTTGACCAAAAGCTGCTAAAATGCTCTCAGTAGGGAACATTTCATAAAGGCAAGTTAGCCGAGGTGTTTGGTGTTAATAGGTTTAAATGTGTTTTCAGACCGAGGACCATCACATATTAGAGGACACATGTTGCTGCAGGGTTTACCTCCACATCACAACAAAAGCCCTCAATAGATGTTAAAAACGAAACACTGCTGTCCTCTAGAGGCTGTAGGTGGAGTTTCATTTTCAAGATATTAATGCCAAGCAGAGGAAGATTTATATAATCAACTGAAAATCATACCTGACATGTAACTAGTTTACTTAAATGAAAGTCGTAGCATCTAAGATACGATATTCAATTCATGTTTTTGGGCCATTTTGAAACTGCTTCTGTTTAAAGAAATAGCATTTCTTTAAACCCCCACAGTCTCTCTGAACTTGGTTACTGTTTTTATACTAAATGTTTATTTTCTATCTAGCGAGAGTTTGAGAGTAACGTAATTTCATTTCTCTGTATGTCCTGTACATGTGGCAGAAGTGACAATTAAACTGACTTTGACATTTACAAACTCCACGACTGACGTGCTGATGACTAGTCCGAGCAAAGCCAAAGTGTTTGATACACAGACCTGATTATTTTCAAGTCTTCCCTGAATAAACAAGATCCTCAATCCAAGCATGAAATATTGAAATAATCTGCTTATACCAGCCAGGAGATGCTCTAACTGAGCAATAGAAAGGAGTAAAACAGATGTCACTTACAGCTTTATTGTCTTGCTAAGTCTTCCTCCCCTAATGGTATCTATGTAACACTCTTGGAAGGATAGTAGAACACTTTAAAGGGAAACCTCTGTGCCTATTCTTAGAACCCAAAAATCATGCGTCTGACACATGTGAATGCTTGATCCTGCCTCTGCATAAAGTCTGGCTTGAGGAATGCCACCCTGCAAAGTTTGTATGACACACCTAAAGCACACGTTGGATAATTCCCCAGTCTGATAAATCCTGACATGCACTCACTTGTACAATGAGTTTTTGACAGATTTACACCCCCCCGCGCCCCCCCCCCCCACACACAAAATAAATAAATAAAAATTATATATGTATATAATTCAACCCCTTATAAAGTTATATAACAAAATGGATATAATGAAACTTTTGTGATTGCAAAATAACTTTGTGCAAAGGGCTGTACACATACAAAAACAGACTTTAACACAACAAATCATGAACATAATTCAATTAAATCATGAGTACAAAATAAAAAAAACAAAGAGAGTATAAATAAAAGTATTTCAATTCATGCTATTTAAAAACTGTTAAGAAAGTGTAAATTGTTATTGTTTCTGTCATTCATAAGTTGAACAGAAGGGGGACTTCGGCATCACTAGAGCCCAGAGGCCCGGTTGATCATTAATTCCGTCCATGTCCATTCCCCTGGCATGCCAAGCCGCCTCGGTCACACCCTTCCCGGCCTCCCCCGCCTCCCTGCTCCCTTCTGCCCGCCATGTTCTGGAGGAGGAGTACGTGTAGCTCCGGAGATAGCTGGATTAGCATTAGCCGCACTTAGCTAGGCGGAGGCGCAACAAGCTCCTCGAAACAAGTACTCTGTCGTGATTTCCCTCCTCGGAATTAGCCAGACAAGCTCAAAGGTTTGCGTCCCTGGGGTAAAAAGAAAAGCAGACGTAATTTACAAACTACGGTAAGTGACCGCTTGCATTTATTTATCGTCGGGTTGTTTGGTATTTCCAGGCTGTCCTGTGTAAAACAGTTTGCTTTGGTGATGTCTCTACCGAGCACCCGTCTCGGCTATCTCTAAATAGCATAGCATGCTAACTTACGTACCTAAGTACGTTTGAGAATTAACGAGGACTGTTTTATCTTTAGGTTTAGGACTGACAGTAAGTACAGTGTTTGACACACTTCTTATTACATAGATGGTGGCGGATCAACAGTTGTTTTTATCAGTACTGCGGGAGAAGGGAGTATCATGAGCTAGCTGATCCATTAGCTAGCTTTCATCTAACTTTTTCAAAGGCAAGTTTTGAAATCGAAAATGATCATCCTTTATGGCCGCTTCCCTAACCGAAAATAAACTGTCCCTGAGGAATCGGACTACTTCTTAACTTGTACTAAAATTGAGGCGTGATACTTAGCTATATACTTTTGAGCAACATTAGTTAGCGCAAACCCACTCAAGCCTTGAGTTAACGTTGTTTTGTTCAAAAATTGGTCTAATGTATTGCATGTTTGCGGCCAACTTTACTAGCTCTGGGTAACAGCAGCATTAGATGGTAGATGAGTTTTAAAAGGACATGTAACCATGAAGTTGCACAACTTCCAAGTCGCTGCTACACCCATTACACCCTGAGTCAGATCGCCTCTGACGTCGTAAACGTCTGTTTTAGCTTATATGCTAACAATCACATCATTTTAAGGAGGCGCATGGATTTATTTTTTTTATATTTTCATTTGTAATAATACCAGATCAGAACAGTTCAATTATTATGAGTCCTCAGGGGGAAAATTGATCTAGATCTAACTTGGATATATTTTCTTATTAGTCGTCATAAGAACATCTATGAACGCGAGCAGAGATTTTTACGACAGTGTGTTATTTTGGCCGTGCTAACGTGGCTTTAAACGGGGACAGGGCTGTGTCTATTGTCCGGATGATCTGTTGGTGACAGATGCATCATCACTGTCCACTTCCGCTCTATGAGCCATCCAGGGAGGACAAAGGACACCTCCTCCTGTCTATTCACGCCCACCCAAGGCTTGGTGTCCACATCAGTACTAGTGAACTTTTTTCCCTTGGTTTACTGGGAATTCATCTCCACGAACGTGTGTGCCAATAAGAGGAAGTACAGGTTAAGCAGGTGGCCGGAAAACCACAACACTCTCAGCACACACACACACACACACACACACACACACACACACACACACCTGGTTATGCAAGACTTCTATCACCAGATCAGCTTTACTCTTTCTGTGTGACAAGGTGGACCTGTTCTCTAATGCTAATTAGCTAGGCCTATTCTCTCTCTCTCTCTCTCTCTCTCTCTCTCTCTCTCTCTCTCTCTCTCTCTCTCTCTCTCTCTCTCTCTCTCTCTCTCTCTCTCTCTAACAATAACGACTTATTTTTGTTTATTTATTTAACAGACACTTTTATCCAAAGCGACTTACAATTTATAACCTGTAGGGCATGTTGTGATCTGTGGGGGAAAACGGAGTACCCGGAGGAAACCCACGCATGCATGGGGAGAACACGCAACTCCACGCAGAAAGGCTGCAGCCGAGCTTCGAACCTGCAACCTTCGTGCTGCGAGGCAACAGTGCTAACCACTGCGGCACCATGCAGCCCGCACTTATTGACATCTAATTAACCAAATAAGCTTTTTACAGACAACAGTGGTGATTTTACAGACTTTGTAGTTCTTATTGTGCAATAAAACAATTTTTTCTTGTTCCACAGAGTTCGCCTCCCTCTGGTAGTTGTTTAGAATCATGGGGGGTTCTTGTCAGGCACCATGTTTGCAGCCATGGTTTAATTTGTTGTGATCCGAGAGGAAGTGACATATTTGGCCTTGAACGCCTCAGAGGAGGAGGCTCTTTGAAGAAATTTCTTGTAGGCCAATGGCGTCACTTTCCAAACATAGAGTGCTGTGATTGGCCTAGCCTAAACCTAGCTAAGACAACGGTAGACCCGCTGAGGCTAAAATGGAGCATTGGCTAGACCAACCTGCAGAGCAAAATCTTTTTGCTACAGTTGTGTTTGTAGGCTAAGTTGTTTCAGCAGAGAGGCCCATGCAGCCTCCACTAGATCTACCGGTGGGATCCCCAGGTTTTCCCTGCCCAGCATGGAAACGTACTCCCTCCAACGTTCGACCCAGCAGGCCTCCTGCCAGCAGGGCATGACTGAAGGCATTCTGAATAAATCGTCAAACTTCCTCAGCTGGCTTCTTATGGCATGAAGGAGCAGCAGCTCTACTCCTTAGTCTCTCCTGGATGTCCAAACTCTTCACCCTGTCTCTAAGGCTTATGGAGGAAACTAATTTCAGCTGCTTGTATTCATGAACCTCATTACCTAAAATGAGGAGATTTGATCTCTGGCTCAGCTCCTTTTCCCACCACAACTGACAGGTTTAGTGTCGGAATGACTGCAGATGCTGTCCCAATCCACCTGTGGATCTCCTGCTCCCTCCTTCCCTCACTCACAATTACCGTATTTTCTGGACTATAAGTCACACTTTTTTTCATAGTCTGGCTGGTCCTGCGACTTGTATACCAAAGTGACTTGTATACCAAATTATGTACACCGCGCTGCTACGGGCCGGCTCTGGACCAGGAATGAGCTCCCCTTCCCCGCCATCACCTGCTGGAGACCGTGGCGCGCTGCTGCGCCCTGATTGTTTATTCTGTTATTGTTACCGGTACTTGTCTTGCAATGTGAAATGCTTGGTCTCAGATTTTGTAAGAAAAATAATAAAATTTCCCCCCAAAATGCGACTTATAGTCCAGTGCGACTTATAAATGTTTTTTTCTTCATTATACATTTTATGGCTGATGCGACTTATACTCCGGAGCAACTTATACTCCGGAAAATACGGTAAACGCTTCCACTTGAGGTAGGACATCTGTCCTGATCCTGAGTTTGGAATCCACCCTTTTCCAGTCGAGTACCACGGCTTAAGTTTTAGGGGTGCCACTCCCCATTGTGGCTTCTTCACACTTGGCTGAGAACCTCATCAGCTGGAGCTGAAGGTCACAGTTTGGTGGAGCTAAGAGGGCCACATCGTCCATAATAAGCAAAGATGCTCTGCTTATGAAGGGTAGAGTTCTGGCTCGCCCGCTGCTGATAAAGATGCAGGTTTAGGTTTTTAATAATGCGAGGCCTAAAAAGTACAGAAACTTAGTAAAATTAAACAATACATTCACAAAACAACATTTGATTTTATTAACCACAGGTTAAACAGAACCACAAACCATCACTGACTTGCGCTAAAAACAAGTGCTTTGGATGACATTTATAGTACTTGACTAATTACACCAAGCACTAAAGAAGAGTGAGCATTATCTCTGGACTTTAACTATCTATTAAGAGGTTTCCTTGCTTTAAAACACATGAATTCAATTAGGGATGTCCCGTTCCGATTTCTATATCGGAAATAATTCTATATCGGCCCAAAAACGATGTATCAGATTTAATTGGGCGGCATCAAAAATCTCCGATATAAGACGTCCGTTACGGTTCACATTTTTGCAACCAATGTTTATGAAATATTTTAGATTTTTTTGTACTTACTGTAATTGGTTCTTGTTCTCTGAGTAATATCACTTGATCAAGCCTTCCATATGGGCCTTGGCGGTATGGGAAAATTTTCATATAACTTTTTTTTTATATCGGTTTTACGGTGTTTGACGGAATTTTTCACAAGGTCGTGATTACCCAGATTATTTTGTACAAGAAAATAATTACTGCACTAGATTGGCCTTAAATAGCCCATTTTACCTTCATGTGCAGAATACCAGTTTTTCCTTGTCCAGTCACAGGTAGGTAAATGCATAAACCTCGTCAAAGTATACTTGTCAAAAGAAAGCAGTTAAGGAAAAACTACTAGAAAGATAAAATATTGCAGTCAAAATAAACTATTTTTATTTAATACATTTTGCATATAATCTGTGCAGGTTACCATCTATATGATTTAACATCCTATTATGACTGAGGCATGTAAGTAAAGGAATCAAGTTTTATTTTCTTTGTAAACTATCAAACATTGCACAGATGTTTAAAACAGAACAAATTAAATTAGGCTACCAAGCACCTTAACCAATTAACAGTAGTGTTCGAATTCCACAAATAACATCGTGTAACATGTGCATCACTCAATATTCATGTATTTACCAAATTAAAAGTGCAACTGCAGTGTAACAACCAAACCAAACAATAACTTAAATAACTAAATGCAAACCACTAAAAAAGAAAAAAACAAACATTTGCATCAATAAAATTACACAGAAGCCAGGCACATTGCAGTAAGTAAAATGAAAAGAAAACTACAAATATCAATAAAGTGCAACATGGCTTACATTACTCAAGAGTAACATTTTTCACTCCTCTGAACATGAAAGGCAACTGCACAGTTTTACAAGTTGCGAGCAAGAAAAATCAGGCGGTCCACGACGTCAGGTTTGAGTGTTGCCCTGTGGCACGTCACGTTCCCACCAGTGCCAAACACTCTCTGATGGTGTGCAAATATCTCCATGCTGACTTTGCAATGCGAGGGGAATTAGTCTCTCGGGATTTCCACCATGCAAGGGGGTCTTTGTTGCTGTCCACCTCTTGAGTCTGGAGGTATGTTCTGAGCTCTGTCTTGATGCTCTCCTCCTCTGACAGTGTGTTACTGGACCCTATGCTGCTCTTGCTTTGGCTTTTAAATAAGCTAGACAAGGACCTTTTCCTCTTCTCATCTGGAGGAGACACAGGGCTTGCTGCTGCACCTGCTGCTGTCGTCATATCAGCGGTTGCTTCACTTTCAGACTGGATGGATTTTATTTCTCCAACTGCTTTTGATTGGATGTATTCCACCTTTTCATTGCTTATGTACCTGGTTCTGAATCTTGGATCCCCTGGCGATCACGTGTTTCACCCCACAACACAGCAACGATTTACTAGACTTGTGTAATATAACCGATCAA